GGTACCTAGTGGGCTGTTTGCTTCATAACAAATGTGGTTCTAAGTGGGCTGTTTGCTTCATAACAAATGTGGTACCTAGTGGGCTGTTTGCTTCATAACAAATGTGGTTCTAAGTGGGCTGTTTGCTTCATAACAAATGTGGTTCTAAGTGGGCTGTTTGCTTCATAACAAATGTGGTACCTAGTGGGCTGTTTGCTTCATAACAAATGTGGTTCTAAGTGGGCTGTTTGCTTCATAACAAATGTGGTACCTAGTGGGCTGTTTTCTTCATAACAAATGTGGTTCTAAGTGGGCTGTTTGCTTCATAACAAATGTGGTACCTAGTGGGCTGTTTGCTTCATAACAAATGTGGTTCTAAGTGGGCTGTTTGCTTTATAACAAATGTGGTACCTAGTGGGCTGTTTGCTTCATAACAAATGTGGTTCTAAGTGGGCTGTTTGCTTCATAACAAATGTGGTACCTAGTGGGCTGTTTGCTTCATAACAAAAGTGGTTCTAAGTGGGCTGTTTGATTCATAACAAATGTGGTTCTAAGTGGGCTGTTAGCTTCATAACAAATGTGGTTCTAAGTGGGCTAAGCTTCATAACAAATGTGGTCTAAGTGGGTTGTTAGCTTCATAACAAATGTGGTTCTAAGTGGGCTGAGCTTCATAACAAATGTGGTTCTAAGTGGGCTGTTAGCTTCATAACAAATGTGGTTCTAAGTGGGCTGAGCTTCATAACAAATGTGGTCTAAGTGGGCTGTTTGCTTCATAACAAATGTGGTTCTAAGTGGGCTGAGCTTCATAACAAATGTGGTTCTAAGTGGGCTGTTAGCTTCATAACAAATGTGGTTCTAAGTGGGCTGTTAGCTTCATAACAAATGTGGTTCTAAGTGGGCTGTTAGCTTCATAACAAATGTGGTTCTAAGTGGGCTGTTAGCTTCATAACAAATGTGGTTCTAAGTGGGCTGTTTGCTTCATAACAAATGTGGTTCTAAGTAGGCTGTTAGCTTCATAACAAATGTGGTTCTAAGTGGGCTGTTTGCTTCATAACAAATGTGGTTCTAAGTAGGCTGTTAGCTTCATAACAAATGTGGTTCTAAGTGGGCTGTTAGCTTCATAACAAATGTGGTTCTAAGTGGGCTGTTTGCTTCATAACAAATGTGGTTCTAAGTGGGCTGTATGCTTCATAACAAATGTGGTTCTAAGTGGGCTGTTAGCTTCATAACAAATGTGGTTCTAAGTGGGCTGTTTGCTTCATAACAAATGTGGTTCTAAGTGGGCTGTATGCTTCATTACAAATGTGGTTCCAAGTGGGCTGTGGAAAAAAAAAGATTTCGACTGGCTTGTTTGCTTCACTAAAAATGTGATTCCTAGAATTGTACATTCCTGTCACATTGCTTGACATTTTTATGGAAAGTTCTTCAATTTATGTAACAGGCCACAATCATGGTTAGAGGCTAGAAATGACTTGATCTGACTGTAAAGTTACAAGCTAGACTTGATCTGACTGTAAAGTTACAAGCTAGACTTGATCTGACTGTAAAGTTACAAGCTAGATATGACTTGATCTGACTATAAAGTTACAAGCTAGACTTGGCTTCACCAGATCCTATCCAGATTTTATGACCAGCCTGTGGTCAAGAGTGTTAGCCTGATTCTGATTGGCTGGACACTCAAGTACGTCACAGACCTGATGTCGCTAATCAGTTTTCCAGCAGAGACTAATCCCCGGTACTTGTCCGGGAAGAAATCGATGAATATTTAAATCAATTAATCTGTTCTTTATTAGGTTCTCGTCTTTTATTGGCCGATAGGAGTCATTGATTGGTAACACACAATCAACTTATGCCAATCACAATAAAGTAATCTCAGTTACACAGTCACAATCAGATAGTCCCATTGAAACAGCCACAATCATATAATCCCATTAAAACAGCCACAATCATATAATCCCATTAAAACAGCCACAATCATATAATCCCATTATAACAGCCACAATCAGATAATCCCATTAAAACAGCCACAATCATATAATCCCATTAAAACAGCCACAATCAGAAAATCCCATTAAAACAGCCACAATCAGATAATCCCATTAAAACAGCCACAATCATATAATCCCATTAAAACAGCCACAATCAGATAATCCCATTAAAACAGCCACAATCAGATAATCCCATTAAAACAGCCACAATCAGATAATCCCATTAAAACAGCCACAATCATATAATCCCATTAAAACAGCCACAATCATATAATCCCATTAAAATAGCCACAATCAGATAATCCCATTAAAACAGCCACAATCAGATAATCCCATTAAAACAGCCACAATCATATAATCCCATTAAAACAGCCACAATCAGATAATCCCATTAAAACAGCCACAATCAGATAATCCCATTAAAACAGCCACAATCAGATAATCCCATTAAAACAGCCACAATCAGATAATCCCATTAAAACAGCCACAATCAGATAATTCCATTAAAACAGCCACAATCATATAATCCCATTAAAACAGCCACAATCAGATAATCATAAATAACCTAGACTAGAGCGGCTTGCTGTCATTACTAACACCTCATAACGTTCTTTGCTACAATTTTACAGCTGTAATTAGTCTTTGTACGATATTTTACAGGAAATATGGGTATTATCCTACACTGCATTGTCTGTTTTTGTGTTTGGTGTTGCGTCTGTAATGTTTGTTGGTGTGTCTGTTTTGTTTGTTGTGGTTTCGATTTCTATATTTTTACTTTCTCGTATATACGAAGTAGGCCTATAGAGAAAGTCTTGTACTCGTGCAAAAAAAAAAAATCAAGATTTTTACAAATCTCGACGTTTTACACCTCCCTGAGTCGGAAAAAGATATTTTGGCAATCTTGTCCGTATGTATGTGTGTATGTCTGTGTATGTGTCTGTGTCTGTTAACACGATAACTTGAGTACCGTTAAAGCTAGGTTGATGAAATTTCATATATAAGTATTTTATCATTTATAAAAATCGTAGATCCGTATCAACGTTTGAGCGAATTCCGATAACCGGAAGTGGTACTTTTTTCACTTTGAATTTCAAAATCCTATAACTTGAGTACCATTTCAGATAGATAAATGAAATTTCACATGTACGTAAAAGATCTAATCCTCTACCTTCTATCAAATTTTGAGTAATTTCCGTTGACCGAAAGTACTAATTTACGCTATTTCCGATTTCTCAAAAAACGCATGTAAATTTATAAAGTACTAATAATATTCCGCACTATTATGCAGATTTTGTTTTGGCGTTCGCTTGGTGCGCAATTATTTTTTTCTATGAGATTCTATTCTAGTTTAAAAAGTTTTAGTATTTAAAATGGATTAAAAATGATAACTATATCCCGAGTTCCCATCCCCTGTTGTTTTATAATTATAAGAATATACGAGAAAGTTTAGGGGAGATCACTCCCGTTTTATTTTTTAATGTCAAAAGGAGAAAATTCAGAACTAACAAATCAAGGAGTTGAAATAGTCGAGTTACCCCTCTTTCGATTGTCCAGAGACCAAAATAAACCTTACAACGATGATACATGGATTTATATATCAAAATTAAAATAGTTGGTCAGTGTAGCACGTTCAACGTTTAATAAGAGACAACTATTTAGCCAACTTGTTTTCGTTTATTCAAGTGCGACTGTGTTCGAAATGTCTTAACAATTCTTCATGAGCGACCCATGAGGAAAAAAGATTGATTTTGTAATTTAAAGGGAAATAACTTTTTCCTCGGTGTGCGTGTAGATTAAAAATATGTGCTTTGTTTTTTAATAGTTGAGAGCCTTTAACTTAATATTAAAGAAACATTTAATAAGGTATTAGCCCGTTGTGTTTCTAAATTATTTCAACAAAAAGAATTAATTACATTGTAACATTAAACACGTGCACAGTGTTTTATAAAATATGTAGGTAGGTGTGACGTCACAGTGGCCGACCCACACGTCATTACCTCACCCACGGGTAATGTGTTATCTATTTAAAATATGTCATTTTACTGTAAGTTGTTTTGTTTTTATCGATTTTGTTCTAATTTGACAAAATCGTTGTTTGTACATACGTCATATATTTTTAAATTAGATTTTAATTTGATTTTATTATAGTTGGTGTATGAAAATACACACACACGCATACACATACATTGTCAAATACAAATATAGAAGTACACACACAAACTTAGATAATCAAAACGATCCACTTATCTACGCATACACACACAAACACACGTACACACACCACAGTGACCTAGTTTAGATTTCCGGTCGACCTATCAAAGCCTCGGTCAGCTGAAGTATCGAGATCTACTGGTATCGGTCAGATGTTTGCGTTATCGTTGGCCATCGATTACTTATCTAAACGTAATCATTGTTTTTTTTGTTTCGTTGATTAGATTTTGAACTTTGAACCTACTCGAATAAGTAAGGCAAGTTTGTCCCTTCGTGTCAGCGATTTCAAGATTTAAAACTGCTAGATTAACACATCTAAGTGTGCTAATTTGGTTGGGTAATATCTGTAGAATTGTTTGATTCTAGCATCCACATGAGTTTTTATTAATGTGGTACTTAATACATGTGCACTTAACCCAACAAAAGAATATCGTCAACATTGAACCTGTTTTGGGTTCAACGACACGTAGTCGATTCTTTTGTTTAACCGATAACCAAAGTTCGATATTTCACACTTAACCGTAACTAACTAGCGTTGTAGATAGGGTTAGGTTTATGGTTAGGTTGATGGTTAGGTTGATGGTTAGGTTGATGGTTAGGTTGATGGTTGTGTTCAGTGACTACTTCAAAATAGATAAGATCAAACCTTAATCTACCATAAAAAATGATTTTATGTATGTTCGATGATTGCAATTAAATCGTAACCTTAGCACAACTATAAGCCTAATCTATGCTAGTTATTTGATTATGGAGGTATAAATAATAGAGAAAAACAGCACAATTTGATATTTGTAACGTTAAAGAATGTCAAATAAAAGCCAGTAAGTTTATGAGATGTTTAATGCAGGTTAAAAAATGAGTTTATCTGACAGGGGTTGGGGTCATGAATTTATCTGACAGGGGTTGGGGTCATGAGTTTAGCTGACAAGGGTTGGGGTTATGAGTTTAGCTGACAGGGGTTGGGGTTATGAGTTTATCGTCGGGCGGGGACGCAGGGGTCAACGATATGCTCGCAGACGACCCTGTGCAGAGCGTTGTAGTCAGCCGTGGTGCAGCCAACGATGGGGAGGAGGGTCTTGAAGGTCTCCAGGGTGGAGCAGGCGGTGGTGGGGTCGCTGCTACCGTTGGCCTGAGCTGTGGCCGTGTTCCTACAGGATGCAGACGACAGGTGGCTTATGACGCAGAGGACGTCACTCTTGAGCGTGTCCTGGGCGGAGGTCAAGGCCAGTAGGCAGACGACGGCAAGGGCGAGTACTTTCATTGTGTGTGTGGTGGGTGGGCTAAAAATAGAATCACAAACAGTTGAGTTAGAATTGAGGGTTATGTTTTCATTGTATGTGTTGTGATGTTGTATGTGTTGTGATGTTGTATGTGTTGTGATGTTGTATGTGTTGTGATGTTGTATGTGATGTGATGTTGTATGTGTTGTGATGTTGTATGTGTTGTGACGTTGTATGTGTTGTGGTTTTGTCGTGTTGAATGTGTTGTTGTATGTGAGCGCTTCATTGATAGGACACACACTGAGGGCAGATGAGAGGACTCGCATTGCAGACAAGCAGCATACTAAGAACATCATTCCCCTTCCACTCTGACCAAATGTTCCACGGTTCAAACCCCTCATGCACCTTAAAGTTTGTTACACCAATTAAGAAATTAAAAAAATACCGATTTGCGTATTTTTGTTCGAATCAACTTTCCTAACATTTTGGAAAGTTAAAACCGCGAAATAAAATCTCTGTCTCCCCCCCCCCCCCCCCCCCCCATTTCTATCATTGAGCTTTGACATAGCAGATCCATCAAGTAACAATCTAAAACCGTTAAATCGCAAAAAAAAGTTCAAAAAAATTTAAAGACAAGGTCAAAAAAATATGTGTCAAATCAAATATTACAATCATTACAGTAATTAAGATAATGAAGTTAATCTTCGAGATTGGCATTTTTTAAAATTGTAATATCTAGAAAAAAAACACGTGATATTTATAAGTAATGTAGGTGTTTTTTCAAATTGATGAACAATCAAACAATCAAACAATCAGCAATACATGACACGTTCAGACTTATCCGATATGCAGGTTACTTAAATAAAAAACAACAACAATGAAACATAAAAAACACAAGTATATATATATATATATATATATATATATATATATATATATATATATATATATATATATATATATATATATATATATATATAGTATTGTAAAGTTTCTATCACAGATAGTAAAATAAAGGGCAACAACTTACGTGGAATAGGGCTGAAGAATCTTGTCTTTCTTGTGAAATAATTAGAGAACAAGGTTGTAGAAATGTGTGTTTTTATACCAAGTTTTATCTCAATTTTTAAAAAGTTAAGTTAATTTAAGAAAAGTGTTGATTAAAAAGTTAAGTTAATTTAAGAAAATTGTTGATTAAAAAAGTTAATGTTCAACCAGCTTAAATCAACACTAATGAGAAAAAAGCCAGCTGTTTGCCTAAAGTGGGCCAGGGTAGGTAACTGAGGTGGCCTGATGTTCCAGGATGGTATGATGCCGTTGCACCAATCATCGACCGGTGGATATCTGGGAACAACTGGCCACCAGTTCAAATCATTAAAAATGTTACAAGGTTAATTTTTAGTACACACATTTTAAAAAAACAACATTGGTAATACATCTAGTTAAGGGCTCTTCACACACAGAACCGTGATTCTAATTTAACTAGAACGTTTTGAGATGGGGGATGTAGCTAATGAAGGACAATAAATGGCTTGTAGAACATCATGGGCATGTAGGGCTACTGGCTTACATAGGACATTCAAGGTTGTGCAGTTTCAGCACAGTTAGGACATGTTTGAGCCAGTAGGACAATTAGCTAACACAGGACATTTTGAGCCTCTAGGACTTGGTGCATTGGTACATTGTGAAAGACTGGCAAACACAGGACATTATGAAGCCTTCAGGATTCTGTTGCGTGTTCTTTACGTCGTTGGTAGGAAAGTCGCCAATAAAAGGTCCGTGTGTAAGTTGTATCAACGGTGTAAGTTTAATAACGTCAGGTAAGTTGTATCAACCGTGTAAGTGTAATGACCTCAGGTACGTTGTATCTACCGTGTAAGTGTAATGACCTCGGGTATGTTGTATCTACCTTGTAAGTGCAATGACCTCAGGTATGTTGTATCTACCTTGTAAGTGTAATGACCTCAGGTATGTTGTATCTACCATGTAAGTGTAATGACCACAGGTATGTTGTCTCTACCGTGTAAGTGTAATGACCTCAGGTATTTTGTATCTACCATGTAAGTGTAATGACCTCAGGTATGTTGTATCTAACGTGTAAGTGTAATGACCTCGGGTATGTTGTATCTAACGTGTAAGTGTAATGGCCTCGGGTATGTTGTATCTACCTTGTAAGTGTAATGACCTCAGGTAAGTTGTATCTACCATGTAAGTGTAATGACCTCAGGTATGTTGTATCTACCGTGTAAGTGTAATGAGCTCAGGTATGTTGTATCTACCGTGTAAGTGTAATGACCTCAGGTATGTTGTATCTACCTTGTAAGTGTAATGACCTCAGGTATGTTGTATCTACCATGTAAGTGTAATGACCACAGGTATGTTGTCTCTACCGTGTAAGTGTAATGACCTCAGGTATTTTGTATCTACCATGTAAGTGTAATGACCTCAGGTATGTTGTATCTAACGTGTAAGTGTAATGACCTCGGGTATGTTGTATCTAACGTGTAAGTGTAATGACCTCGGGTATGTTGTATCTACCTTGTAAGTGTAATGACCTCAGGTAAGTTGTATCTACCATGTAAGTGTAATGACCTCAGGTATGTTGTATCTACCGTGTAAGTGTAATGAGCTCAGGTATGTTGTATCTACCGTGTAAGTGTAATGACCTCAGGTAAGTTGTATCTAAAAACGTGGTCATCATACGTGCATCAACCACTGTTTGAGAAAAGTGAAAATATTCTAATTACATCAAAAGATTGAATTACATTTGCAGTTGCAGACATTTGTGTTGGGATTCTATTTTTTTTATTATAGACTATCTTAAGTAAATAACTTTTTACATAAGCTTTTCTTTAGTTCAGTGTGCTTAAGTAGATATTTGTCTTTTAGAGATCTTAAGCTACCGTTCGGGGCTTAAAGCAAATTTTAAATCATGTTTGGTTTCGATTTTACTATTAACCAAATGCTAAAAAGTAGAAAATAAATTTAACTAAACAATTACAATAATAAGCATTTAAATGACTTCTTTAATAAAAGCAATGTTAGCCTTAGAAAAGTAATATATGTTTTAGAGATTAATGCTTTTATAACAAAAATCAAGTTTGTTTTATTATTTTTAAATTTTCAGTACATTTAAAACAATCTATTATTACAAAGGTTTTTTTTATTTGTATTATTTCTTCGCAGATTTAAACCTAAGTATTTATGGCTTAAAGACACTTTAGCTTTATCGTTCACATTGTAGACATAGTACATGGTGTACAGATTGTAGACAGTGAATCCGTTTTATTTCTGTACCACCAAAACAAGCGACACCAAATATTTAGTTTAGACACGAATAGAGCTCATCATTGTTGCATGGATACAACTCACTGCACCAAACAACACAACACAACATGAACACACCACCACATGAACACAACACCACATGAACACAACACCACATGAACACAACACCACATGAACACAACACCACATGAACACAACACCACATGAACACAACACCACACGAACACAACACCACACGAACACAACACAACACCACACGAACACAACACCACACGAACACAACACAACACCACATGAACACAACACCACATGAACACAACGCCACATGAACACAACGCCACATCAACACAACACCACATGAACACAACACCACATGAACACAACGCCACATGAACACAACACCACATGAACACAACACCACACGAACACAACACCACACGAACACAACACAACACCACATGAACACAACACCACATGAACACAACAACACATGAACACAACGCCACATGAACACAACAACACATGAACAGAACACCACATGAACACAACACCACATGAACACAACACCACATGAACACAACACAACACCACATGAACACAACACCACATGAACACAACACAACACCACATGAACACAACACCACATGAACACAACACCACATGAACACAACACCAAATGAACACAACACCACATGAACACAACACCACATGAACACAACACCACACGAACACAACACCACACGAACACAACACCACACGAACACAACACAACACCACATGAACACAACGCCACATGAACACAACGCCACATCAACACAACACCACATGAACACAACACCACATGAACACAACACCACATGAACACAACACCACATGAACACAACACCACATGGACACAACACCACATGAACACAACACCACATGAACACAACACCACATGAACACAACACCACATGAACACAACACCACATGAACACAACACCACATGAACACAACACCAAATGAACACAACACCATTTGGTCAGTAAACATGTTTACTGCATAGATACAAAGTGTAATACATTACATAATCAATTATACATTCCCTCTTTACATTCATGCAGATCAATATTCCTTTCATTTTAACTTTTAAATTTTTCAAATAACCTTCAACTCATCAAGGCAGAGCGTTGGCATTTTTTTTTTAGAAAAAATATACTAAAACATTCTGACTGTTTTTAATCCTCTATTTCTTTTCAATCATTGACTCCCCTCCTCTCTTGGCCCATCCCTCTCACGCTCCACCCCTCCCCCTACACACAGACACACACCTACACACACACACACACACCGTACAGTCAATTAAAACAAAACTATTTTATTTAAACAAGTAAAAAATTTATTGAGTAAAACAATAAAAAAATAATTTAGAAAAAAAAATGGATTGTAAAATTGTGTTGGATGACTACTGACTAATTAGGTCAGTTACCGAGAAACGTGACATAAGCGGTGTGGTTCAGTAGGTAGAACTAACGGAAACATTTTCACAATCTTTTTTTTTTTAAGTTTGACCTTTTTGATAAGATATAATTAAATGAAAAAGACATGATTTAAAATAATTGATCGAACTATAATAAAACAGAAAACACTACATTTAGTTAACCCATCTTTATGTAACAACATTTTTCTAAAATATAAACCAACCAACAAAGTGTGACGAAACAAACTTAAAAGAGTTCACTAAACAGCAGGGGCGCAGGGTACATCTTTATGCTCGCAGACGACCGCGTGAAGTTTCTTGTAGTCGTCAGACGAGCAGCCGACAAAGGGAAGTAAGTACCGGAAGGTTTCGAGCTTTGAGCAGGCGGACTTGGGGTCGTTGTTGCCGGAGGCGTTGGATGCGGCCGTGTTCCGGCACCGTCTGGAGGACAGACTGGGGATGATGCAGAGGACTTTGTCCTTCATGGGGTCCTGGGAGCAGACGGCTGCAGCCAGACACAGGACCACGAGAGTCAGGAGTAGAGGGGTGTTCATGATAGTCTGCTCACGCGGGAACCTGCAAGCAAACACAGATGGTATTTTCATTAGGGGATGGATGGCTAAATACTGATGGTATTTCTTTAGGGGATGGATGGCTAAATACATTTTTACAAAAAAAAAGGTCTTATATTTCAAGGAAAATAATCATGGCCTTGCTAAGTTTAATCTTAAAGATGTCAAGATATTTTAGGACAATGTCCTTATTGTAGGGTCCAATGTTCATATTTTAGGAGCCAAGTTTGGCCTATAGCTTTAAGTGGTCAGTCAGTGTAATACTATGATTGGCTATTGTCAAGTTTTTCGTTCAGAGGTCAATAGTTAGCTGTTAGTCAGTGTTGTTTCGTTGAATAGTTCAATATACAGCTTTAATATATATATATATATATATATATATATATATATATATATATATATATATATATATATATATATATATATATATGGGATCAATGTACATGGGTCAACATCCAGATTTCAGCGGTCAATGTTTGTATTTTATGGGTCACTGTGCTCAGATAACAGAAAACAAAAAAAAAACATAATGTACTATCAAGACTTTCACTGACATAAAAACGAAACCGGAAGCTTAGTTTTATCTGCCCAGATAAGTGCACCAAATCCCGCCACATCTAACGTTTTATCTCGTTCCCTATGTCACACTGTCATTGTACACATTTGATAGACTTGGGTTGACCAGTGATAGCAGCAGATCAGGGGTGGGCTGGGTGTGGCCAGGTCAGGGGTGGGCTAGGTGTAGTCAGGTCAGGGGTGGGCTGGGTGTGTCCTGGCCATGTCCACCCCCACCCTAACCAGTACCATTCGGCTCTACTCACTAAGATGTTATTACAAGACAGTAAACTGTCACATATCTAAGTCGTTACATTCTGGGTTACCACATATTTGATCCGTCACATTATGGCTTGTCACATTATCTGAACCGTCACAATCCAAACAATGTCACACAGCAGCTGAAGGTGTATAGCCACTGAAGATGAAATGAACTGTGACAGGTATGAAAACAAAAACCGCAAAATCCAGAATATAAACCACTTCATCCATCTACTCACACAGAAGTAACCGGTTCTTTGACTTAAGACACAGACAAACTCATGACACAAACTATTTCCTACCTAGCTATGACTTAAGACACTAACAAACTCAAGACACAAACTATTTCCTACCTGGCTTTGACTTAAGACACTAACAAACTCAAGACACAAACTATTTCCTACCTGGCTTTGACTTAAGACACTAACAAACTCAAGACACAAACTATTTCCTACCTGGCTATGACTTAAGACAAACTCAAGACACAGAACCTCACCTACCTGGCTATGACTTAAGACAAACTCAAGACACAGAACCTCACCTACCTGGCTATGACTTAAGACAAACTCAAGACACAGAACCTCACCTACCTGGCTATGACTTAAGACAAACTCAAGACACAGAACCTCACCTACCTGGCTATGACTTAAGACAAACTCAAGACACAGAACCTCCCCAACCTGGCGACAACACAGGTAAAAACACCTGGACAAAAGATTTATGCACTGGTAAATAAACGACTGTGTAAAAATAACACTGTGACGTCACAGTAATGCGTGCTCATCTGTTATAATTGCTTTGATTTGCATAAATTAGTACGTGTCATCCTAGTTCAAAACAAGACTGAACATCCGCAGAAGTTCATTAGAAAGTATTTTAATGGAGATATGTACTACGCTAGAGTACCAAACACGATTATTTAATTACAAAAAATAAATTAGCCTAAAATACTTACTAAATTACCTGTGTAAATATTAAGTGTAGGCACTGTGAAACTATCTCAGCGACAACCAGCAAATGACAACCAGGAAATGACAACCACCAAATGATGAACCTTATGTATTAGTGTAGATCACAACACAACCCAGCCAAATCCCATGTGTCTCGTCCACTCTACTCACCCTACCAATTTATACACGTCCGACAAAGAGGAAATTAATTTAAAAAATAGGGCGGACGAAGTGCGCAATTAAATTATTTCAGAGGTTCTTACAATATTCTAACATGAAGTCAAACTTCAGATGGTGTTAACTGGTTTAATTTGTAATTTTAAGAGCCGCTAATAGTAACGCCGACCTTAATTTGAGAGAAGGCACTAATGAAACGCGATGTTTTGTCATTTCGGAGTGGACTTGTGGACTTGTTTCAAAGGTCAAGTGATTTAAATTAAAATGTTGACATCTGATGAACGATTTTTGTGTGTGTTTGTTTCAGTGTTAAACTATTTATGATGCACTGAGTTTGAGAAACAGTTGACTTAGTATTTCATTAGTTCATTCATATTGCTTGCACACATTTAATTCTTGGAATAAAGGCTCCAAGAAAACTGTCTACAGCACAGTCAAAGTGTGAGCGACATTTTTTCAAAGGCGTCTGCTTTTATAACTTGCTGTATACAGGTTTGTCTGCAGGCTAGGTCATCGTGGCAGGTTTGTCGGCAGGCAAGGCATATCATGTCTGTTAAACTGGGATGTGTATTGTAGTAACGAGTGATGCTATTTAAAAACCACGTGACCCACTTAATTAATAGCTCGAACTCCGCATAAGACCTAATTAATTTTAAAGTTAATTTTCAACTTTGTAAATTTAATTATTTTCTCAACACTTATTTGCAGTTATGTAATTGAAACAGTAGGGAGGGGGGGGGGGGGGGGTCGTTGGGGGGGGGGGGGGGGGGGGGAGGGGGGGGGAGGGGTGTGATCAAGTGTTCGCATGTTTACCAAAAGGGTAGTTCCGCACAAAATGATTAACATTTCTGTCATGTAAGCCCAAAAATATAGGTCCAATTTTAAAGAAACCACCTCGCTTTGTTGTTGATTTTTTAAACAATGGCTTTTATACAGATAAGTTTCACGACAATACAAAATACCAACACAACTCGTGCTCAACACCACGACACCCCCTCCCCAGCTCTGACCCCTGACCTATTAGATTGACCCCACGACCTCAAACCAACGAGTTACGACACATGTTATCGCCCTTTATCAACCTTATTATCTAACTTTTACTTCCCCTTATCTGCTAGGCCTTGAACGGATTAGATAAAAAAAAAGAATCAAAATGGAAACGATTTCACATTTGTAAAGACAATGAACAAACTCACATTTATAAAAACAGTTAACAAATTCACATTATAACAGAGCAAAAAATTGTAGATCTACATCTTTCTGACAGATATCACACACACACACATACAAACACACACAGAAAATTAACGAAATGCAGACAAGCTAGGCCTATAACATAATGAACACATTACTGTTTTTTGTTTGCTAGCAGTTGCCAATTTATAATAGAATGATCTTCAACACAAACCTAACCCCAAACCTGAGGTGGTTTCTGTAATTCCCACCAATCAGCCCAAAAAATCATCATTCCTATAATTAGCATAAAAACCTTACAGGGCACGCATTAGTTGAGTAACGAGCTCGCTAGACATGAGAAGATGGCGGTGACGTCAACAAAAATTTTAGCTCGTGACTTACGGTTTAGAAAACAACAACCGGCATATCCCATAATTCCTGTCCAGAAATAACACACGGACGTCCAAAACAACTGACAGGACACTCCCCCCCCCCCCCCACCCCTAGGACTCTAACAGATAAATAAACTTCTCACCTAAATAACACTAAGTCAGTGGGTCTCAAGTTCTCGCGGAACCAGGGGTTGTACATATAAATATATAAAGTATTGGTAGTTTAATAGGCAAGCAATGCTAGTTATTATAAAGTAAAATTTCGAATTAAAGAAAAAAAAAAAAACATTCCTAGACCGATAGGACAATACTAAATACTGTAAGGGTGAATTAAAAAGTAAGCAACAAAAACGATGCTTGTGAATCCACTTCAGTCTTCTTTTAACAAAACATTCGTGCTTAATTAAATTTGCTTAATTATTATGTACTGCATTTAAGAAAATGTAATTATAAATTATTTCCTATCTAAACGATGACGGACAAAATAAGAATTGCAAAATTAGTCTTGAGATTACGTCTAAAATCACATAAAGACATCTTGATTAGTAGCACCAACAGATCATATCGCCAAATAAAAATATTAAAAGCGAACTCGAGTTAAAATGCAAATTGTCCTCTCTGAACTTCCATATCAAAGGTCGTCAGAGGTTGAAGCTTCGTACTTTGGTGATTAACACCTTAAAGCTGCATTTGAAAATGTGACAAGTTAATTGCATCGAACTTTCTCGACGAAGTGTTTAAAATTATGTCAGATCTGTTTATTTTAAATTTAATTGAATTGAATGTCAACAAGTAGTTTGAACACATTGAAAACAGACGGTAAAGTGCAGCAATTAAATTAAAGCTTTCAATGTTTCATTTGATGTTAATTTTGTTGCGTTGTTTGTTGACACAAACACATTGTTTTATGGCGAGGCACGTCAAATGTCAAATAGTGTGTCTGTGTCTCTGTGTGTCTGTGTGTATGTGTTACTAAGTTTCTGTGTTTCTATATGTGTGTGTATCTCTGTGTGTGTGAGTCTGTGTGCATGTGTCTGTGTCTGTGTCTGTGTGTGTGTCTGTGTGTGTGTCTGTGTGTATGTCTGTGTGTGTCTGTGTGTATGTCTGTGTGTGTCTGTGTGTATGTCTGTGTGTGTGTCTGTGTATATGTGTGTCTGTGTGTGTCTGTGTGTGTCTGTGTATATGTGTGTCTGTGTGTGTCTGTGTGTGTGTCTGTGTGTGTGTCTGTGTGTGTGTGAGTCTGTGTGCATGTGTCTGTGTCTGTGTCTGTGTGTGTGTCTGTGTGTGTGTCTGTGTGTATGTCTGTGTGTGTGTCTGTGTGTATGTCTGTGTGTGTGTCTGTGTATATGTGTGTCTGTGTGTGTCTGTGTGTGTCTGTGTATGTGTGTATCTCTGTGTGTCTGTGTATGTGTATATGTCTATTATGTGTGTGTCTCTGTGTGTGTATGTGTGTGTATGTCTGTGTGTGGTTACGGGATGTCACGATAAATTATTTGTATACAATGGCTGCTCTATTCAAGAAAGGGGGGGGGGGTGTTACAAAAATTAACAAAAACGTTTATTTTGACACCGATTTTAAAAACTTAAGCATTGTATAAAGAGGATTGGAAACATTCTAAGGACATTTATTTGAGAGCGTCGGGTTTTTTTAACAAACTAAAATCACAAAACCAGATTTTGGAAATGGTAGTCGTTTTGTGAAAGATAAATTTGTGAAAGTTTGGTAGCTCGTACAATAGCTGGTACTGAAACACGTGTAGTAGAATTGTTAGATGGTGAACATCTACGGGTAGGGTTAGAGTTAGGTTTTTTGGGTAGGGGTGGTTTTACAGGTAAGGTTAGAGTTAGTGCTTAAAGTAGGATGGTTTTGATTTGCATCTCCCGCTAAATGATATGTTCTTTCGGTCATAAATATTGTTTTAAAAATATAATAAATAATATATTAGACTGTTGGCTATTATTCATGTGGAACAGAATAAATCGTGTCTAAACAGCCGTGATGTTTATACTAAACTCTGTATCCACACTTGACTGTTGTTCATACGTGTATATTGTTGGTTAAAAAATTGATTGTACTACAACTTTTCAGGTTCGAATCATCTTACGGTATAAAAACTCACCCAATCAACTGTAGCAGGTTGACCAATCAAACAATCAACAAAATTTTGCTGTATTTCAGCTGCTCTATCCACGGACTGATATTGCGACAGGATTGCGTCCCTTTTATCGTCTATTACTGACTGTCCTGTTATCATTAAGCCAAAAGCGTCGCTCATGTCAACATTTGGTTTCCCGTTCATGTTTCTTGCACACTTCACCAGCACACCTGTCTACAATCGTAGTTTTTGTGTAACGTTGGTGCTGGATGATGTTGAACAATTTGTTCATGTTCTGTGTCGTGTGCTGACATCACTGGACGTGTCACCTGGGTCACCTGGGTCACCAGGGTCACATGGGGTAACGAAGATAACACACTGACCAGCGCTTTGATACACAAAGAACAGACATTGGTAAACTCGACCAACTTATCTGAAACTTAACATCACATAAACAAAGTCTAGTCACGTTTGGAAATAGCGGTCAAAAAAATTAAACCAGGCTTCTAAAATAAAGAAAAATTCTTTTCTGTTGAAGAGGCTTTGTTCTTATCCTGCAACTTAACTTGCTTAGTTTTGTAGATGATAAAAAAATCATTACGGATAGATTAGACATTAAAATTTGTCTTCCAATATGCATCACGTGTTTTGAACTGTGAGTAAATTGTTTTGATGACCTCGTCCATTAGGACTTTCAGGAAAGAATTTGTTTCATAAATCATTCAGTTTTTTCTTAGCACATATTTCTATTGATAACATTATATTGCGACGCTGAATTTTAAAAATTGAACAGCAGTAATATCGAAACACAAGCTCGCGTTAACAGAAAAAAAAAACTAATGTTAAATCCAAGCATTACTGCTCCAAATACATTCTTGTTTTTTTTTCATCTTAGTTTTTCTGGGACTTTTCAGAATACTTGGCCATAAAATCGGCCAATGTCCTAACAATTGTCTTAATGGCCAATGTCCTACCAACTCTGTCTTAACGGCTAATGTCCTACCAACTCTGTCTTAACGGCCAATGTCCTACCAACTCTGTCTTAACGGCCAATGTCCTACCAACTCTGTCTTAACGGCCAATGTCCTACCAACTCTGTCTTAACGGCCAATGTCCTACCAACTCTGTCTTGCAATGTCCTACCAACTCTGTCTTAACGGCCAATGTCCTACCAACTCTGTCTTAACGGCCAATGTCCTACCAACTCTGTCTTAACGGCCAATGTCCTACCAACTCTGTCTTAACGGCCAATGTCCTACCAACTCTGTCTTAACGGCCAATGTCCTACCAACTCTGTCTTGCAATGTCCTACCAACTCTGTCTTAACGGCCAATGTCCTACCAACTCTGTCT